GAGTATAGAGCATAAAATATAGAACGTGGAATATAGAGTATAGAATATAGAATAATACAGAATGATATAGAATGTAGAATAATATAGAATAATATAGAATAATATAGAATAATATAGAATAATATAGAATAATATAGAATAATATAGAATAATATAGAATATAGAATAATATATGAAATACAAAATAGAAAAATACAGAACACAAAGCACAACAAAAAATCCCCACCAACAGCAACCTCCGATCCGCTCAGTTTGATCACAAGCTCACCAAACCCGCGAATAATCGGCCTTGTTATTCCGACCGCCACGCAGATTTCTCCGTGAGATCCACAGGTTAATTTCACGGCAACCGGCCTGCGCGACCAGCCCCGTTCAGTATGCGTTAACCGTACCTTTCCGTCCTCGTCCCCTTTGATTCCATCCGGTGAAACTCAGCCCGCGATTATCCGCGTTAACCCAATGACGCTCGCGCGCGCGCCGCCCTCGGCTTTCAGCGATCGCTAATCGTTGAAAAGACCCCGCGCGAAACAATTTCGCGTTGTAAATCGGCGAGCGGCCCCTGGAAAATTGAATTTCCCCTTTGCTCCTGTTTCGTTCGTCCGTTTTCCCGCGACGGGTAATTCGATCGCGAATTATTTCGCCGGATCGCTGCGAGGGACACCGAGCAACGCAATCTTCCTCGCGACCGACGAATCCCTGTTCGCCGTTCCGCCCCTTTACCTTTCTCCCCTATTGTCATTTAGTCTAACGTTAAATCCCATTTCCCGTCGCCACGGATTTTTACCTAACCCCTTTTTCCGCCGGCGCGTTTCCATTATTTTCTGCCTTCGATTATTTTCCCGATATTCGCCAACGGTAACTGATTATTTATTCGAGATATCGGTACGCGAACTTCGCTTTCGACGAACAGTTTAATGCAATAGCTATTCGCGATGACAGTGTACCGGGTATAAAGTGACTTGTTGAACGAACGTCGGCGAAAAATGCGAGGGAACGCGATTTCAGCGTGTGTTCGAGATAGTTTCATCTCTGAATCCGGATTTCATCGAGTTCTATCGTTTCAATGAATTAGTGCTTTATCAAGAATTTATACGAATTCTCCGAAACGTTTTCTGGTTGGTTTATTCGGTTCTCGTGTTATTCATATTTACATTCGATGAGAGAAATACAATAGAAGGAATATACAACGAAGATAAATATGAATTGTATACATATTTTATTTATTATTCAGCATTTATATTCGATTTTTCACGATATAAGAATTCTTCCAAGTCATCCTCCGAGCAAATGAATTATAGATAATTACATCTGATTCAATTCGATTTCGACTGGTGACTCCCATTGCACTCAGCGTGACACGTTTCGAATGCACAGATCAATTGCAGAAAGTAGCAAGGTTAATTGGTACGGCGCGTGGAAAAGATTACTGAGAGACAGGTAGAGAGATTCGGAGACCGCGAACACGCAGGACACGGCAGGCCGAGTCACCGCAACGAGAAATGAGCGGTTCGTTCGCCGTTGACTCGCATCACTCGCCGACACCCGTTCCCTGCAACGATATCAATGTCCCGGCGAATTCGATTAACTTTCTAGCTGCTTCTCCTTCGCGCCGACGTTGACACGTTCACTGCCACGAGAATTTCCAGCGTTTTATTTTACTAAGATTTGTTCCTTTGTGGTAGAGGAAATTAGTGTTAGAAGTAATTATTTGTTTTGGTATTACAGTACTTATATTGCACTATTATCTAAGCTCTGACGTTACTAAATATTTCAATGCAATATCAATTTCCTTATTGTAAAACTGTAAATTTATAGTATCCCCAGCGAAAATGAAAAATGCTATAGATTTCTTCTTTTATTTTCCATCTTAATACAAAATTTGGATGCGTGAAAAATCTAACAATTATAGGGTAGCTTCTTTAAGATTCATTAAAATACCTAATATTATTCTTGGTGCAATATTGGAGCCTACAGAGTTCAAAGGGTCAAGATACTAGATAAATAAAAATTCTGAAGTGGCTCAATCTTCCCGTTCGGTAATTTTACTGTTAATTATTCCTTTTATTCTCACAAGTGACTCGTCACATCGCGCTACGATTCCTTACAAAAACACGTACGTTAAGGTTGAAAGGTCGCAGAATTTACTGTAGCGTCGGAATATCTCAACGCAGGGAATCAGTTGTCATCCCTCTCCCCATGATCGCGCGGAAGGTTATAGCATTGTTTTATTCGCGAGACGAGAGCCACGAGGCTCGTCACGTACGCGTAAAGTCGTTTACGACGCGATAGCTTTCGGGTGCCGAGAGTCCTGCCTTCCGAGGACAATGCGGCGTCCTCGAGGAAGTTCCGATCGACCGGCTGGATATTGCTTTATTGCCGGCCGTCCTCGACGCGTCGCCAGGTAATGTCGTAAGCGGAAATCAAGCCGGGGTCCGGCGTACGGGAAACACCGAAGGGCGCGCCGAACGCGGAATTTGCATTCACGGGTCGAGCGTGAAATTTCCGTGGCCCCGCCGCCGCTATTGGCATAACGAATGGGGAATCGATATTGATAAACACAGAACGCGCCGGGAATTGCGCTCGTTTCGAGAACACTCGGCGGGGAGGATCGAGCGGTCTTTTTCCACGGATCATTCGCGTTCGAGAGTAAGTTTGTTTGCGATCAGGATGAGCGATGGGAATTAGTGGTTTGGTATTTTTAATTGTTTTGCTGGGAATAACATTAATCCCTTGCTTTACGATATCTGACGCGATGATTTCTAATGTGGTTCAACAAATGGCATTGCGTTGTGTTGAGTTTAAATGGAACATTGTCTTTAGCAACTTGTATGGTTTATATTAATCCTTTGCACTCGATAGGTGACTCTCACTCACCACTTGATTTTATAAAGTTATAAAATTTGATATTTAACATTATACTATGTATAAGGGATTAGTTTGAGAAGTATAGAAATAAAGTAGCTTTGTTCCTCGACGTACGTGTGATTTCTCTTCGAGTTAATTTCACAAAATATCGTCTTTATCTCGTCATCAAATGTTCAAATATTTCTAGTGTAAAACTGCCGAGCGCAAAGGGTTAAATCTAGATATAGAGCATGGAGGCAAGGGGTTGATGATGATAGTAGCAATATAGTAGTAATATAATAATCATCCATAATGCAATATGAATGAATATTAGTTTACTAGTTGATAGATATATTAATAATGTTAGTATTATTATTATTGTTGTTGTTGTTGTTGTTATTATTATTATTATCTATCAACTAGTAAACTAATATTCATTCATATTCCATTATTGACACTATCACCTTGAGTGAAACCACTGGAAAATTGTTCGATCGTCTTCGATTTCTACACATACTTCAAATAAATAACAGCGCAATGGAACGATACTGGTCCACAAAGGATTACACGCGAAAACTCTGTCGGAATTTTTAACGAGAATATTAATCTCGGGCTGATAGGAGCCCGCTAAAAGAACGGAGAAATTAAATCGGCTGATTAAAATCTGGAAAAGAGGGACGGGCGTCGTTTAATTAAACGGGTGGCCGGAAATTTTCGAGTAGGGAATTACTGTACGCGCTGTACGCGACGCAGAGTTACCTTTTTAACCCTTTGTGGTCCGAAGTGCTCATGGTTTCTCGCTTTGAGGTCCACGTCGACGTTAGTTCGTTCAATTACAGCTTAATATAACGGTCTGTTCATTTATTCAAGAATATTTCGGGGTCATTGAAACGTTACCTTTAAATGGTACAATTGTGGTACTGCAAATAAATATAGGAAAAATTCAAACTTCAGTAATTCGAATTTCAGTAATTCACATTCCAACGACTGAAATTTCAGCGACTGAAACTTCAATAATTCGAACTTCAATCATGTTACCTTTAAATGGTGCAATTGTGATGCTACAAATAAATATAGGAAAAATTGTTAAAACAGGTAGAGGTTGCAATAAAACAGAATGTCGAGTCTGACGCGACATAGGACTAAGGGTTAATCCCCACTTCTTACCGATCTCGGCCTGGGGGAAGATTATGGTACCCCGAGGCTGCGTCAGGTACAAGAAGGGTCCTCGTTGTCAGTCAGACATTCATTCGTCAGTGAGTTACCGGCGCGTTTGCATCGTGCGTTCGAATTCCATTTCTCGAGTGTCGGAAGTAATATGCTCGGACGAGCTATCGAGTGATCCGGGATTGCGATATTTGTATGTGTGCGACCAAAATGAACAGCTTCTTGCAACGGATGTTGAAGAGGAACAGCGACGAAGAGGTTGGTTCTCCCCTTTGCGAGGACACGTTCGAGCGAGTCGAAACTTGGAATTAGATTGAAGTTGAAAGTTAATCCCTTGACGTACTGTTTACTTCGTCTTCTGAGCTGTGTAACATTTTATCTGTAGTTTGGAAGAAAGACGCAATTTTCCATTTGACTTTATCAGAAATTTAACCCTTTACGAACGTCGACATTTCGAGATGAAATCATTTAATTACTTGAACAGCAAGAGATCACGTAGTTTCTGTGTTTTCTATTAATTAAGCAATTGATGTATAATTCAACTTCATCTCTTGAAGGTTTTGTACATTTCAAAGAATCTTCGTCTGCAAAAGTCTTAATTTGACGACGATACATCGATGCAGAATTTTCCTTTGATCCGTGGTTAATGAATAACATTGAGTTTCGTTGAATCAATCTAGAAATCTTCGTCGCGACAACCAGTGAATTAATAATAATATTTAAACTTATTTTATATGAATTATTTTTTCGAGTTTCTAGTGCATCGTGATCTTGGTTCATTTGTAAATCCAATAGTAAGAATATTCTGGCAATAATCTCGCGTGTTTCTGTTAGTTTAATAATTTTCCAAGCACATGTTCCGTCAATATTCACAGAATAACAGACAGCCCACTTTAAAATTAAATTTCACACGAATCAGGCTCCCACTAATTCGCACTTCCCCCTTCAGCTGAACAGATACAACCAGACAGAGCCAGAGCAGAGGATCGAATCGAAAAGTGGAAGCCCCACAAAGGAGACCTGGATCAAGAAGCTCGGTAGTTGCTCGCCCACCAAGTACCAAGCGCCCGGCAGTGCAATAAAGATGGCCGCCCTGAAATCTCTGGACGCCTCCCGACTCCTTCACACCAGCCAACCGGTGACCCCTCTGAAACCTTGCGCCTCGGGTTCACCTCTGGAGATGCCGAACCTGGAGAACATCATCCAGGAGTTCGAGATGAGCTACCTGTCTCCGTCGAAGAACGAGGCGACAGTGATCAGCGCGAGCAAGCACCAGCAGAACAGCTTCGTCAAGAAGATCGTGGCAGCTTTCGAAGTGAAGTACAAGGTGTACAACGACCTGAAGACCACGCAAGAAACCAAGGATGCTCTAGAACCGAGCAAATCAAAATCCCCATTAGACCCAACGAAGAAATCCAGCATCTTCGCGGGAAGTCACTTCAGAAGCGGCTCCGAGGAGTTCAAGCATTTAGAGGACACAAGAGAAGCTCAAGACGTCAAACAGTCCAGCGTCTTGCCATCCTCGAAGTACAACGCGGAGAACTCGAAGACCTACAGGCGCTCGGGGATCTTCGGCTCGCCGTTCAAGCTGTCTTCTGAAGACGAAGGCAGTCGCGACGAGTCGAAGCACGAAATCGACAGTTCAACCAGCTTCACTCCGCGGAAACAGGAGGATTCGAAGAGCGTGAACAGGAGGTCGGGGATCTTCTCGTTCAAGCTGTTCTCCTCGGAGGACGAAGGTAACCGGGAGGAGTCGAAGGACGAGCACGACAGCTCGGCCAGCTGCACGCCGCGGAAGCAGGAGGATTCGAAGAGCGCGAGCAGGAGGTCGGGGATCTTCTCGCCGTTCGGTCGCTCGAAGGACAGCAGCTACAAGTCGTCGGACGTCTATCTGAGTCCGGTGCTCGTGGATTCTAGAGACTCCAGCTCGGACAGCTCGAGTCTGTTCAAGTTCGACAAGCAGGAGTCCAAGCGGAGGTCGAACCTGTTCAGTCCGGCGAGGACCACGGTGTCTCTGGATGACACGAAGACGTTGGACAGCGTGGATTTGGATTTGACCTTGCCGGAACCGGACGAGACGATCTTCCTGAACCATCCTCTTCCCAAGACCAGTACTATGATCAACGAGTTCGATAAAGAGGTTCGATCGGTTCAGCGAGCTCCCAGCGTGGCGGACAAGACGCCGAAGGTGGTCGGCGCGTTTCTGAAGAAGCCGATAGAGGTCGAGGACACGTCCATCGAGTGGATTCCCATTACGGGAAAGAAACTGCCTCGCAAACGATCGCTGAAGAAGCTGTTGACCTCCTGGGCCACCAAGCGGACGTTGGATAAAAACAGCAAGCTGTTCTCGTCGGAGAGGAATTTGAACGAGGAGCCCCGGGAGCTGCAGGATTCTGGGTACGACGAGCGGTCCTGCTCCTCGTCCTCGTTGACGTCGCTGATCTCGATCACCGAGGCTTTGTTGCAACAGGAGAATAGTTATGTGGAGCCCGAGAGGAGGCCATACTTGAGCACCTTTCAGAGTAGGAATTCGTTGGATGAAGATGAGGAAGGTCCTCAGGATACAAACCGCGGTGTTGGGTAAATATTATCTTGTTGTCAGTAGATCATTCTAACACCTGACCCAGAAACAACCGAACATTTTCGTATTCACTAATTTATGCTGGCGCTTTGACTCAGTTACAAAAACCTGGGAACTTTCAAAGTCAACGTTCCTTCCTTTCATCCCCTTATGGGCTCTTACGTCACTGTATAAAATCAACGTAACACTAGAAGATCCTGACACTCAATTCAAGAACAGAACCAAAGATTTCCAGATTCACTAATACTTTATGTTAGCACTTCCACTCAGTTACAAAAAAGAACCTGAGAACTTTCAAAGTCAAAGTTCCTTCCTTCCACCCCCTCATGGGCTTTTACGTCACTGTATAAAATCAACGTAACACTAGAAGACCCTGACACTCAATTCAAGAACAGAACCAAACGATTTCCAGATTCACTGGTTATTTTGTCAGCACTCCGCCTCAATTCCAGATATGAACTTTCAAACGTCGCTGTATAAAATCAACTTAACACTGGATCACCCTAACACTCAATTCAAAAACAACCAAACAATTTCCAGATTCATTAGTTACTTTGTTAGCACTCCAACTCAATTCCAGATGGGAACATCCAAACGCCACTGTATAAATCAACGTGCCACTAGAAGACCACCCAACACCCAAAAGCTCAACCAAACGGCGTCCACACTCACTAATCCCCGTTGCAGGCAAAAGAAGAAGCTGCTGCTAACCGAGGTGCCGCGCGAGGAGGTGAAGCTGGATCTAGGCCCGGTCTTCCCCTCATCATTGAAGCTGCTGACGATGTCCCTCGACCGGAAGTACACGATGTGCGAGAAGAGCCCATCCTCAGTGAAGTACACGTTGCCGAGGGTGCCGAAGCACCCTCACCTCTCTGGGATCCCCAAACACCCGTTCGTGGCGCTGACGAGGACGGAGGACACCGCGGAGCAGTGCGAGGAGTTCGTGGTCATCAAGAACGACCTGTACGAGGTGGAGTTCCGTAAGAGCAGCGTGGGCATCAGCCCGAGCTCCTTCAAGCACAAGTCCCTGTCGCCCGCGTCGTCCTCGGAGAGCGTGTACGACGTGCCGAGGAGGTTCCTGTCGAAATCCGAGCCGGAGATACAGAAGGTTTGCCGCGGAGACGCGGCGAGAGGCAAGCAGGAGCCGATGTACGACGTGCCGAGGCTGCGCCGCTTCGACAGGCCCAGGTCCAGCCTCTACGACGACGCGCTGTCCCTGAAGAGGAGGAGCCTGCACGCGGAAGAGCGGCCCGCGGCCCAGTTCTACGCGCTGCCCGCCGAGGAGCCGCACTACGCCACCGTGAAGCCCAGGCAGCACAGACTGCACCGCAGAGACGCGCTGCTCAGCTCCTTCCAGGACATCTCCTCCATGCAGGACACCTTCGTGTTCTGATACTCGAACTGATATAAGTTTCTTGCTCCAATGGGGAACGTATTTATTGCGATTGACGTAGGTTTTAGTGTTCGAATCCGCGCGTTGACTGTGGGAGCTCTGGTTGCGGGTTTGGCTTTTAGACGTTGAGGACGGTGATCGGAGTAGTTGCTTAGATTGGAGCTTATTTTGTTTTTATCGTAGAAGAATTTGGCAGTCGAGATCATCGCATCCATTGATCGTGAAGAGGGAATGGACTTGAGAATTCGCGGTTGCGTCGAATCGCGAGAAACGCGACGGAGGTTTTACGGTTTCCAGCGTTCCCTTTTATTTCCGTTTTATTTGAACCGATCTCCGTTGAGAATGACGGTCACGATCAAGCATAAATGTTTTTAACTGGGAACGCTACGAGGCGATGAAGATGGAATTTTGAATAAGACTATTAATGTAACGGTTTCAGTTGCATTCGGTTCCCAAGCTGTTTCAGTTTGCGAGGAACTTTGCGAAGCTCGTCCGGCGTCTCGGGTATTTCGAGAGAAATATTCCGCGAGATCGCCGAAAGCAAGGGTCGTTTCATCTCCGCGGACCGTCTGTCGCGAACGATCGCCTTTGCGCGCGTTGTAAGCCGTTTACGCGGCGTTCCAGGCGTCCCGTGCGAAAAGGGAGGGGGTGTGGCGTTCGAGGGCTTCCCGCGGAGCGGAGTGAAGCGACAGCGTCGCGTCTTAGGGCGTTTCCGGCGGGAAACGTTTCCCCGAAAGGCTCGGCGGACCGAACTGACTATTCTTACCACATTGCGTACCGGCTGATTTTCAGAAAACTGAATTGGGCGGACGGCAATTTTCATTGCGGTCAACTTGTATCACTATACATAGAAAAACTCAGATATCATATTGCTGTGTAATATATTTTAAATAGACAATTTGAATTAAATTTTATATTTCTTCAATACTGTGGTGATTAGCGAAATTGCATGGCTAACTGTCTTCATATAAAAACGAAACTTCTCGTTACCGGTACGCAATGTGTTAACTTGTTTTTATAGAAATGATTCGGGTGCGTGCACCGAGATTTTGATAGTTGTACTTGGATTCGTCCGTTGCGGCGATCGTTGAGAAGCAGCTGTGCCTTTTTAATAATCGCGAGAGAAGAGGAGAAGGAAAATTCCTGCGCTGGGAATTGGAGGCTGTCCCGTTCGTTTTCCGAGCGGAAACGATCAGACGGAGGACAGTGTTCGCGAAAATATGTCCGTAGTCTCGTACGTGTTTCTGTAACGAAATATTTTACAGAGAATCGGACGTTGTACCTTGTGATCATGCGACGTATCAGTATTACGTACCTGCACCGCGTGTCGTAAGCGAGCAGGCTCAGGTATAGCGTAGACGTAGGTAGAATTTATTAGGACGTAAGAGGCTACTGGCGCAAGTAGTACAAATTTATTTACCATCGAGTATATAGAACAGCAAGCTCAGATTGTGCATTATTTTTGATATCTCTTTTTAATAAATTTTCTCGCGACGAACGTTCTGTGATCTGTATTCCCTCGTCCTGCGATCTCCGATCTTACGTTAGACTTGTATAATTCATTTATAATTATAATTATAAGTAGCTCAGAAGCCAATACAGCTGGGTCAGTTCTTTGATATTTTCTGATTGTACATTTTCATGGGTAGATAATATTATCTAGAATATTCTAAGAATATTCTTAAGTATTCAAGGATTTCTGAATATCTAGTACAACTTCATGAATTTTCTCAATTCTGCAACTAACTGCATTGGCTTCTGATTCGAACGCTTATTATCTTAGGTAACCGATTCACTAACACTAAGATTTATAGACTCTTAATCACTATAATTAACTAGAATAACTAGATTCTTAATCACTACTCTTAATCACTACCGAATAACTGAATCACCGAGCCAAGTTACCACCCCTAAACCACCAATTTAGACTACCAAATTACTAAATGGGAGAACAGGGTGTTGCCAAGGTAGCTGAAAAACACCATCCGAGATCCCCATAAAACCCAGAGAATCAAGCAACCAAGCTGTTCAGATTAATCTGAACAAGACGGAGTTTTCTGTTTCCAGAAAAGAAGAAAATCTCCGGAGGATTAAGAGACAGGCTCACGAGCCGTGACCGCCGCGGTCAACGGTCGCCTTTACCCCCGTTACGCGAGGGTGGCGCCGAGAGAGTGGTAACTGCAGGGAAGATCGCGGCGACGTTATGAGAGTAAATGCGTCGGGACCCGCGGGACCGTGACGGCGGAAATCTTGGTAGCGAGTTCGTAAGCACTGCCAGTGCGTCGTACGTGTGCTACCGTCTACGGACGATGTCTCGCGTCTCCGACGAACTGAGTCTGACGAAGTCGGGGAACGAGTGTAACGAGAAACGAGACGGAAACGGTTTTCCGAGTTGCGGCGCGAGACAGTCGAATTAAACGTAATAAAGGAAACATCGATTTTATTAGTCCTTTGCTCTATGATTCATTTAGACAAATTTTTCGATTATTTTATATTGCATTTCCAATAGTTCTGTTGGTCTCTTAAAATTTGGGCTCTATAAGCAAAAACAATAACGTTTTGATACTACAACTACCGAGCAATTACAGTGACTTCCAATTTTTCATAAAAACTAGAACAATACGTTTCTTGAAATTAGAATGGTCTTGTATCTATACAAATACACAAGTTTAATTGCAAATCTTTCGCAAGCACGTCTTCATAATTAACCCTTTGTAGTCGGAAGTTCCTCACTAGAAATATTTAACATTTTTTGATAAGATAAATATTTCTAGCGAGGAACTTCCTTTTTTCAACAAAAAAATAGCTTTGTTCCTCAATGTGCTAGTGATTTCCTTTAGAGTTAGTTTCAAAGAATGCCATCTTTGTTATAAAAAAATGTTAAAGCATTCTTTGAAACTAACTCAAAAGGAAATCACAAGTACATTGAGGAACTATTTTTTCCCAATATCTCACGTATCGAGGCGTTATACAAAGTTCAACATTAAATATCAGATTTTATAGCTTTACTGCGTCAAATCAAGTGACTGAGAGTCTCCCGAGTGCAAAGGGTTAATTCAGTTAATTACGTTAACTCGGTGTAACTAATCCAATCCACACCATGTTTGGGCTCATTTCAATCACAAGAATCCCAACAATCCACCGACTTCCAAGAAAGTAAGATCTAAAATAATGGAACTGATATTTCCTTTATCTCATATTTACATTCGACTATCTGTCTCATTCTAATTCTCCAACTTCACCAAACTCTGCTCGTCCCCTTGCAGTTGCCCCTTGAGCTCGCAGGGACCTGAAAAGATATCGTCCGTGGACGTTAAGTAAGCACTGCTGGTGCGTCGTACGTGCGGTACGTGGCACAGTGACGCAGGAGGCGTGTGACGTGGGCGCGGAACGTGGGACGTAATGGCTAGCCATTAGCTCACCGCTGGATGCACTCGTAGCGTAGCGAAACGCGTCGCGCGAACCCGGCCAGCTTCCTCGGCTCGTGGGTGTCGTGTCAAGGCCGGTGGCGCTCTGTAAATCCTTTTTAGGGGAGCTGTCGTATACGCGCTACAGCCGGAAAACGCGTACGAGTTTCCCCGCGAGCGATGAATAGTAGATGATCTACGGTAGATCGCGTGAAACGGGGTTGAAAACGGTTGATTCGCTTGCGACGATTGATGACGATGGATAGCGTGATTGATAGTCAATTTTTTTAAGTGGAACTAGGATCTTTGCAGCTTGTGCAGCTTCTTTGCTTCTTTCGGGTTTTGCTGTGGGAACTTCTGCGACTCGAAATGTGGGAACTGTAAATCAAATTATTGGCCTTCTGTTTAGTGTATATTGCAACACCGCGAAATTCCATAGAGAAATCGAAGCCCTCGCGAAATCTCTGAGAATCGTCGAATCTGTTACTGGAAAATTTGACGAATGTTAATTATGGTGTACATTTTTCTTTGCTAGCATTCTATAATCGAAATTCAACTACTTTTGTTCAATTAATTTTTTACTGGAACTCTTACTCTTATTAACTCGCAATCTATTTAACCCTTAGCACTCCAAATTTTTATAGTATTCCTAGCGAAAATGAGAAATGCTGTACATTTCTTCTTTTATTTTCCTTCTACAAAATTTGAACATGTGGAGAATCTAATAATTATAGGGTAGTTTCTTTGATTCATTGAAATATTTGATATTATAACTGGTGCGATATTGGAGCCTAGAGTTCAAAGAGTTAATAACGAACCATAACGTTTTCATGAGAATTGAATCAACTGAATGAATTCAATGAATAAATGAAATTGATATTGCCAGCAAATGGTTCTACGAAAACAGTCCCCTTGATTGAACATTAATTCAACAGGCCCCACGAACTTTTTCGGTGTCTAATAAAAGAACCCGACGGATTTGATTCAGATGATAATTATCGTTCCGCTGGAAAACCAGGAATAGTCCCCATCCATTGCGACGTCCGCGGGAACACAGATTTATGAGGCTGCAGTGCGCGCGTGTCCGCATTTCGACGTCGCGGTTCCCGTCGAAACGACGCACACTGGACGAAACCCCGAAATCCGACTATTGGAATAACGAGAACCCAAGGTTACCATTACGTTGCTAATTAGTACCCGCCATGCAAAATGATTTTCATTTAAAAAATCGACATTTTCCGCGGATAAATTCAATTTCGCAATGTCTACAACATTGGAATCGAAACGTAAAGTGTCCATTATCATTGGAAAAACTGAACAACCTTCGTACGATGTGAACAAAATTCAACGAGCATATAGTTAGCTCTATACATTACAACTTTCGTCTCAAACATTTTTCCCTGTGGCCGATACTTTTCAAGTTATCGAGTTTTGTTCAGAAAATAGCGGAGTGAAAGCACTTCGCGACGCGACGCGAGAAACCGCGAAAGTTCGCTTCTCCCGGTTATATTCGCCCTCCGTAGATTTTTACCACGGAAATCCTGGCCACCGGCCAACAAGGAAACGTAACGTTAATTAATCCTTAAAAAAAAGCAAAGTCCGGAGGTCTGGCTGGAGCAACGGCTCATAAAAACTCGTCTCTTCCTTAGAGCGCAGCTTCGCCGCGGAACTTCCAACCGCTCCGCGAGATACGCCCGAGAAATATTCAGTTCGACGGTGTTGCGACGAAGTCGTTCTTCCAGGGGAGAGTGGATTTTTAATTAAATCGGTACGGAGTTGTTGAAACTGACCGTCTGGCTGGTTGAACCTCCGCGCTCTGTGTAATTCTTTCGCCGTGGATGTCCGACGGTTTTTTGGGAAAATATGCATGACATCTTTTGTGGTTAACGTAAAGGGAAATTGTCGCGCGGAAAATGGGGGATGGAAGTATTCCATTAGGATATTCTTTTGAAAAATGTCTCTTGGCGTCAATTTGAGAAATATAGAAATAAAATAGCTTCGTTCCTCGATGTACGCGTGATTTCTCTTCGAGTTAGTTTCACAAAATATCGTCTTTATCTCATCATCGAATGTTCAAATATTTCAGTGCAAAGGGTTAAATCTAGTGTTTTCTTTTAGTAGCGCATTATTCACGATAAATAGTTGTAACGAATGCATCTGCGAAATTCAAGGGGTTAATGATGATAACAGCAATATAGTAGTAATATAATAATAATAATAATAATGATAATAATAATACTAATAACATTATTAATATAACTATCAACTAGTAAACTAAGATTCATTTATATTTCAGACATCGGTGCGGTTAAAAGGATTTTCGGATGTTCTCTGATTTTTGTACATTTTCGTGGAATAAATAACACGTTGATTGCCATGATTTTCTAAATAATCGAAGAAGAATTATAATGAAAAACTTGATTTTAAATGAAAATATTTAGTAACATAACTAGCTAGGTCACAGCGTAATATGACTAGTGTAATAAATCATTAATAATTTTCAATATCATTTGCCTTTGTTATTAAAGAATAAGTACTGTTCAAAACGCTAGAAATTCTCGTGGCAGTCAACGAATTAAATGATTTACTCGGTTCTCAATTTTTTCTACGTCAGAAAGTCTTTTTTACAGTTTCTGAATATGTTGTACAATAATTCTATATCGAAACACATAAATTTTCTCGATGTTTTCCAGACTCAACCGCATTTTTCCGAGCGACTCGTATTTAACTCTCACGCTTACGAACTTTTCCATTTTATTCTATCAACTACATTAACCCCTTGAACCACGCTCTAGCGGACACGCGAGACGCACACGTCCCGCGCGTAATTTGAATAAATCGGTTTCTCGCGCGCCGCCGGAAACAACGGCATCGATCAAACGAATACCGCCGGCTCGCGTGTCCGCCGTTGGCGATCAGTCAAAGGGCGGAAAAACGAAGGAAAGGGTCGCGTTTTAATCCTCGACTGCTGTTCGGCTAATCTTTACATGAATATTTCATGAACGGAATTGCAGCGGAGCTGACGTTCAATTAAGAAGCCAGACTTATCCGCTGACTTGCGATCGCTGTGCATTTATTACGGGCATGGTTT